TTTTTTAAGTGAATAAAGATACACTTTTTTTAATGAAGTAGAGTTGGGGTTTATTAAAGGTGGGTATTTTAACATACATTTGAAGTACAATGGTTAAAGAGAAAGATATTTAGAAAGTCATGACATGCCTAAACACTTAAGATTTAGTAGAAAAAATTTTTTAAACATTAAGTTCTGTCATTTTTATCATTGTAGGGTTTGTTCACTTCTGTTTGCTTCTAATGTAAGCAATACTTTTTGGTGCAAGGGCTGGTCCCATTGGAGAAAATAAGAATCATTTCTCTGAATGCCAACAACCTAGTAAATGGACAGTGCTACAGTGAACCTGAGATGCCTCCCAAAGGTTTCTGTGTGAGGCATAACTGCCAGTTGATAGGCTTTAGGAAAGTGATTGGATCCTGAGGGCTCTGACCTAACCAATGGGTTCAGGCCTTGAAGACTTCATAATATGATGGCATTACTGGGGTTGGTGACTAGGAGCTGGATCCAGTGGGGAGAAGCTGGTCACTGAACGCATGCCTGGAAGGGTGTCCTTGGCCCTCAGCTCCTTTCTATCTTGTTCTCTGCTTCCTGGCCACTGTGAGGTGAACTGCTCCTCCTTGCCAGGCCCTTCCTTCATGACTCTGCCTTCCCACAGGCCTAGAAGCAATGGCACCATCACATTACAGATGGAAACCTCTGTTACTATGAGCCAAAATAAGTCTTTCTCCTTTACACATTGTGCTCCGGTATTTGTCACAGCAATGAAAACCTTGACTCACCCAGACAGTAGATGAATGACTGAAAGCATTAAAAATGGAAAGAGAAAGAATCACAGGAACAGGTAAAAGAATAATTCAAACTGCTAAAATATTATTTCTTCCATTTTTTTCTTTATAAGGTTTTATTTATTTTTGTTTTATTTGTATGAGTGTATTGCCTGCATGCATATGAGCCTGGTATCTGTAAGGCCAAAAGAGGGTGTTGGATCCCCTGGAGCTGGAGTTAAGGATGGGTGTTAGCTGCCATGTGGGTTCTGGGAACTGAACCTGGGTCCTCTATAAGAGTGGTAAATATTCTTAACTGCTGAGCATCTCTCCAGCCCCTCTTCCAATGTTTAAAACTACTACACCACACATTAGACATTTACCAGACAAGCATTATTGATTTAAACAGTAAAAACCAGCTCTTTCATAACTTTCGGGCAAAAGCTGAGCCTCTCTGAGCTTGCTATTAAAGTTGGTATATGTCCATTCAGACACTGAAAACAGAATAAAAAACTTGAAATAATGTCTTTTTAAAGCCTTTTATAACTTTTTAGTACAACTTCTAATGTACTAACTAGATTAACCCATTATTTTATTGCAAAATAACATAGGGAAGGAAAAAAAAGTGTGTGTGTGTGTGTGTGTGTGTGTGTGTGTGTGTAAAACTTACCATTTAGGATAGGATCATCTGTGTCTTATGATTCAGTTTCCAAATCTTCAGTTACCAGAATCCTCAGGAGGGAAGTGGAAGAAGGCAGTGGCATGTTGAAAAGTCTGGAACTCTGCACATTAATGACACTCCCTGGGAAATCCTGATGACCAGCCATGTTTGAGAATACCTATCTTTACATTTTACAAAAGGAGCCATCTTTACCTTTCGCTAGTCTCCTAAGTTTTTATTACATTCATTTATTTATTTATTTTTATGTGCACATACACCCATGTTTAGGCATCAGAGAACAGTTTTTGAGTGGTTCTAGCCTTCCACCTTGCTGAAGCAGGGTCTCTCTTGCATTTACTGTACCATGTACTCCAGGTTAGCTTTCCCAGGAGTTTCCAGGAAATTCTCCTGTCTCCTCCCATCTCACCATTAAGAGCAGGCATTACAGGTACTTGCTACCACATCCAGCTTTTTATGTGGAATCCAGGGATCCACACTCAGGTTGTCAGGCTTTCATAGCAAATGTTTTTACCCACTGAACTATCACTCCCACCGACTTCCAATTTTTTGTTTGTTTGTTTGAGACAGGGTCTTACTATGTAGCCTTGGCTGACCTGGAATTTACTATATGTAGACCTTGCTGGCCTTGAATTCACAAAGGTCTGACTGCCTCTGCCTCAGAGTACTGGGATTAAAGGCTGTGTCACCATGTCCAGGCCCACCTCCAATTTTTAAAGTTAACAATTTGGTAGTTTCAATTTTTATTTAAAACTATGTTACTTCCAAATGTTTCATTCATATAATCACTTAAGATCAATGTAAAAGAACATCTACTTCTTTTTTTTTAAACTATCTTTTATAAATCTAAAAAGACCTCTGATTTTTAAAGTAATTTTGTCAAAATATTATACTTTTGTTACCTGTTTTGGGGGGGTTATTTTTTGGTCTTTTTGAGACAGTCTGGTCTCCCTGTAGCCCCAGCTGACCTAGAACTCATTATGTGGACCAAGCTGGCCTTGAACTCACAAAGATCCAACTGCCTCTGCCTCCTGAGTGCTGGGACTAAAGGTGTGCACCACCATGCCTGGCTTTTGTTACCTGTTTTTAGATAACTTTACTTCGATACTCTCCTACTCCATTTTAGATAACACTGTTCTAAATAGTCTTCCACAAAATTTGACTTCTACAGTGAACTACTTACTGAACCAGCATTAGTACCCAAATTCAATACCACAGAACACATGTAAAAAAGCTAGACCAGCAGGACACACCTGTAATCCCAGTCCCGGGTAGGTGGAGACAAGGCTCTCCAGGGCTTGCTGGCCAGCCAGTCTAGCCAAATTGGTAAATTCACTGTTCAGTGAAAGATCCTGTCTCAAAATATAAAGTATAAAATATAAAGTAGCAACTGAGGGGCTGACAAGATGGCTCAGAATTTGAGGACCTGAGTTTGAGCCCTGGATTCCATGATGGAAGGAGCAAGATGACTCTCAAAGTTGTCTCTCACCTCCACATATGCACCAAGGCATGTGCATACCCACTCTCATATACAATTACACATATAATAAGTTGTTCCTCATGGCCACATGTGCATCATGGCATGTGCATACCCACACTCATACACATATACATATATAATAATAATAAATAGGAAAAAAAGAGCAACTGAGAAAGACACATCAACCTCTAGCCTCCACATGTGTACACACACATACACACTAATAAATAACTTTAAAAAAATAGGCATGGGGTGGTATCATGATCATTAGTTCCATGGAGGATCATTAGTGCAAGGTTTACACTGATGATTTGAGGACAACCTGGACTACATTAAAAAAAAAGCTGTTGGGGTGGGAGTCTGGCAATATGGCTCAGTGGTTGGGAAGACTGACTGTTCTTGCAGAAGACCCAGGTTCAAATCCTAGCACCCACATGGCAGCTAACAACTGTCTGTAACTCCAGTTCCAGGGGATCCAACAGCCTCTTCTGTCCTCTGCGGGCACTGCATGACACAGGTGCACTTACCTACATGCAGGTTATACAAGCATACACATAAAATAAAAATAATAATAAAATTTAAAGAAAGAAAAACATCACCAACAAAAAAGTTCAAATTAAAAACCTACCAGATTGACAAAGTTTCTAATAAATCTATTGCCATAATCCATATGCCAGAAGTTCAACTTCTATAGTAAACAATTCAGTTTTGTTTTGTTTTGTTTTGGTCTTTTTGACCACAGAGTTGTGCAATCATGACCACTACCAAATTCCAGAATGTTCCATTATCCTCCACACAAGGTTTCCACTGCTCCTAGCCCCTGGTATCACTAATCCACTACCCGCTTCCATGCATTTGCCTTCTTTCCACATTTCATATCATAATTAAAATTACTTTTAACTTCTAATTCAAAAGCTAACTAGCTTACAGGAGAAAAAAAATTTAATAATAGGCTAGATTTACAAAGACTATGATATGTCAAAAGGAAAAAATAATAATCCAAAATGAGTTCTTTACTAAAATTAACAGTCTGTAGCTACAATGTTAGAATTTGCAACAAAGTTGGCACCTCACTAAGAAATCCCAGCTAAGAGTTATCTTAATCCAATACACAACAGGAATAGTAATGAAGAGATTTAGTAAGTGACATCCTTCCCCTGCCCCTGCCTTCCCCCCATCCCCTGAATTGACAACAAACTGGAACAACAACAATAAAAAAACGCTCTATGAGCTCTGTTACTATCTAAAAGAATTAAACATAAAAGATTCCACTGCAGGCCGGGCTACAGCTCAGTTGGTACAGTGCCTGTCCAGCATTCAGGAAGCACCACATAAAATGAGATGTGGTGTAAATGCCTGTAATCCTAGCCCTTGGAAGGTGGACACAGGAGGATCAGAAGTTCAAGATCATCTTTGGCTACACAGGGAGTTCAAGACCAACCTGGGCTACATGAGGTCATCTCTAAAAAAACATCAGGGCTGGAGTGATGGCTCAGCAGTTAAAAGCACTGGCTGCAGAGGAATGAGATTCAGTTCCCAACACTTACATGGCAGCTAACAACTGTCAGTAACTCCAGTTCCAGGGGATCTTCCCCTCTATACCACACACCCCCCTCCACCTCTGCAGATAACAGCATAACACAGGTGTACTTACATGCAGGTAAAACACTCCTATACATAGCAAACAGCAACAATTTCTACTGCAACCTTTCAAAAATCAACTAAGATTCTGAATCGGAATGAACACCAAAGAAGAGATGTTTTGGTGGATATTCACACAGTACCTCTGGGAGCTATATACCCAAATGAGCTACAATGGAGCTATTAGACCTCCAAAACTCAAAGTACCCTAAATTACATACATGGAACTCAAGTACTCACAAAAATATAATGAAAATTTAATCTGAGATGAGTTGAATACATACTAAAGTACATTTTGCTGTGACAGAGTTAGTATATTAGAAGTCAGCCATAACATCTTATTCACAACAAACATCTCAAAGCTAGCTCCAAAGTGAGCATCTGTTTCTGTCGCCCCAGCATTTGAGTGCTCTCACCCATGCACCTCAGCGCAGAGCCAGTTTACCACACTTACCTCTCTGGCGATGTTACTCAAAGCTTCATCTTCTGCAGAAAATCGATCTTTCACAGGTGTTCTTTTCCTTCCAGAACCAGGAGTTCCCATCTTTCTTTTTAAATACTCTTTTAACTCTACAAATGAGTTCACTCTCTTTTCAGTCCTGAAATAAACAGAAACACAATAATTAGGATGTTTTATTTTGTGGAGTTGTAAAGCTTATTTAAACCCTCAATTTTAACAGGGCAATTATATTTCTCCTATAAAGAAATAGTGGCAGAACACCTTTTTCTCTATTATTGAATTATTCCTATGATATTTGGTATATTTAAATATATAACAGTCACAAACTTGCTAACTTCAATATGCTATTCACAACAACCTGTGAGAATATGTTATCTTAGCTCAGAAAACTGCAGTCAACAGCAATTGTACCTAACATTTTTAAATTATGTCTTTTTTCTAAAATCTATCCCCAATACAGAATGAAAGGCGTTTCAGAAAAGTCATTTAGCCTAAAGCTTTGGAAGAACATACTGAAGAGATTTTAATATTGAGCTTTACAGTTACACAAAACTTTGCTTTACAATGTAATTAAAAACAACAATGCGAATTATGTCACAACCATACAAAAGAACAACTGAAGGTTTATTATTCTGTAATTAATAATAACCGACGTCTATGCAATAAATATCGAAGTGCTAGCTACTGCCAAGTACTTACAGGTGCGAAGGTAGGTGATAAATAAAACAGGGGTAGCTGAGTAGGAATTTATGTATGTAAAACCAAGTATGCTTATATGACATGAATGCAGAAGTGAACTGCCTAGGGGATCAAAATGGACTAATTTGGGATGTGGGAAGGAGAGGGAGCATGGAGAAACATGGTCAAATCACAGTACACACATGTATGAAATGTTCCTATGAAACCCATTACCATGTACAATGAATACAAGTAGATAAAATATTTTTAAAAAGAATATATCTACAAATCTATTATAATAATTATTAATTACACCCGCTTACAGGGGAGAATGAAATAACAAGAATGATGAAAACCATCTAACCTTTCTGTTGATTAAAGATGCCCTGGACAGGGATATTGCTCAGTGGTAGAGCATGTGTCAGGCTCTGGGTTGAATTCTTAGCCTACCCCCTCCCTCGCCAAAAAAATAAAAACAACAAAGTGCAAAATGCATCACAAATGGCATGAACTGCCTTTCTTCTAGATACACTGCTGAAAATATAGCTCCCTTAGCTAAACACCCAGTAACTCCAAAAGCATTTTTCCCAGTTTTAACAAAAGAAACTAGAGACATTTCACTACAATATGAGCTGCAAAGATTCTCATTAGTTTGCCCCAATAGAACTGGCTATACTAAAAATACAAATGAGTTTAATGTATCTCAATTTACTTGATTCAATCAAAATAAAGCAGAACCACTCCACCAAAAATGTTTCCCAACAAAAATTCAGGACAATCCTATGTTTTCTGACATCACTTCTTACTACCTGGAGCTGGGTAACATTTGTCTATAAAAATGAAGACAGATGCTGGGTAAAGCGGTGCATGCCTAAAAACCCAGTGCTCGGGAGGCAGAGACAGGCAGGTGGAGCTCTGTGAGTCTGAGATCAGTCCGGTCTATATAACAAGTTTCAGGTCAACCAGTTCTACATAGTGAGATCCTGTCTCAGAGACGGATGATGGCTATCACTTCACTACAAATGTCTCTGGACAGAGCTTATTTAAATGGAAGCAAACAAAACAAAACAAAAACTAAGTACATACATCTGAAAGCAGCAGCTGACAGATCCTAGCCACAAATCAAGACAATTCTTGAAAAGTACAGAGGTTTTTTCTTAGAAGTCCTTCTCAACGTGAGTCACACTAAATCCAAGCATTTAATAAAGTGCTAAGCATTCCAGAACTATGTGAAGTATCTTAAGTTACATATGTAGCTTATGAAATTGACAAAAGGGCATTCTTTATTTACATTATTTATTTATCTTTATTTACAATTTTATACTGTGTTCTCTTCTGCTGTGGGGATTAAACCCCGGACCGCATGCTAGGCAAGGTCAGGGCTACATGAAGGAGCTGTGTGCTCAGCCCTTTTTCTTTCTTTCTTGGGGATGAGACCCTCACTATGCTGCCCATCCTCTTTGGGCATGGATGCACCACTGTGCTGGCAACAATTTTAATGAGCGAAGTTATCCTCAGATTATTTTCTTCAGCATGCATATGTGATATCACTAGCAAAGCTGAAAATTTTTATTGATGCATGCAACAATCTGTAAAAAAATTAAAATGCTTTTGACTAAATCCATTTTACTGTGAAGAACATGTACATAATAAAAATTAAAAAGGAAAAATTGTAAGGTATTTTATGTATTTGAAGTTTTGAGACGGCAGCCCTTCGATTTTCAGTCTCCTTAGTAGAAGGCGACAGACTTACAAGGAAACAGACTAAAGATACTATTAAACGGTATACTGAAAATCTGTGCATATTGCCGGTGGTGGCACACACCTTTGGTTCCAGCACTCAGGAGGCAGAGGCAGGCAGATCACTGTGAGTTCAAGGTCAGCCTGGTCTACAGAGTGAGTTCCAGGCCAGCTGGGGCTAGAGGGAGACCCTGCCTCAAAAAGACCAAAAAATTAAATAAATAAATAAAAATAAAATAAAAAATAAAACAAAAAGTATATTTCCACATGGAAGGTGGCATGGAATTTATTGTCATCTGGTGAGCCTTTTGGTCTGTGGTAATATTTTTAAGCCTCAGGGGAAGAATTGCTTACCTTCTTTATTGATATAACAATGTGTACTAAGGTAACATCCA